GACAAATATGTTCATGATCATTACGTTTACATTCATGCATACGAGCAAAACATCCATGTGGACAAGATATTACTGGACAAGAAGATGAATGAAGACAATTTATTAGAAAACATTTATCACAATGTTCATGAGTCATCTGAAATAAATGAAATATTTTTTCGTATTGTGGTCAATATTCAGTTTTATATATATATATTGAATGATATGACTAACTGTTTTTGGAAATATGACATCATTTATTCGGTTAATGAGGAAGTACGAATGACAAAAATATTGCATAATCAATATGACATATTAATTGAAGTTAAATGTAGTAGATATTTATTTCAAAATTAGAAGAAAAAAAACACGACATATTCTGACTGTAGGAAAAGAATTTGCTATTATTTATAGATATAATCATAAGGGAAAGACGAAGATACAGGTAGCTTTCATCCTATTGGTCTTCAGATAGCCATTAAGATTGTATTAGCGACTTTACCATCTATTTAGACATACAAGTTATCCGGGAAGAATGAATGAGAATATTATATATATATATACTTGTTTAGTTTGAGAAGGATGTTCAATAGAGTAAAATTTAAAATATGTGGTAAGATGCTCGAATTTTGTATGATTTCCTAACGTCATAGGTGGAAAAATTCTAATTGAGATTTTTATTACAAATAAAAGTCGATAGCATGATGAACTATTCTTAGAATTTCTAGGAAAAGTTTTCAGACCATCTGTCTGTTATAATTCATAATCGGTAAATAAATTTGTTCAAACAATATAGGCTCTGGTATTTTTTATTTTCATTGTTAAAATATTGCTTGAAATAACCAGAAAATCTCATCTGTCTATAACAGATATTACTCAAGATTTTTTTAAAGCATGCCTACATATAATTCTTTATTGGAATAAAAATTTGGAATGAACCGATTTTTCATTTCTCGTCATCAATGAATATGCTCAAGTAACTTGTATCAACAAAGGTTCAAAGAATTCATTATTGATGAATGAAATAGCTAGAATATTAGTTGGATAATCTTCAAAATTAGAAAAACAAAGGAATGACGAGATAAATAAATGTAATCTCACTATCATTAATATTCTTATTTATTGTAAAGAACTTCATTTGATTGTTATCAAATGTGTGTGTGTGATGCATGCATGCCCTCTTCATAGATGGTTCTGTAATACTAAGTTTCTATAGGTACAAATTTTATCCACTAGTTTTCAACGATAAATAATAACATGTATATATATTATTGAAGCATCACAAAAGAAAATATCTATTTTTATCAATATTTTAGTATATATATTAATAAATTGAAAACTGAATTGACTTATCTATAGATTATTATTTAAAAAATAATGAAATATATAAGTTCAATTAATTTTTAAACAATATATTAGATGATTTTTATGATAGTTATCTTTTCATAGATTTTATTCTATATATTTTGATTTCTGTAGAGTTTCAATGCGAAATGAATTATTAAACACATATAATTACAAATTTTTCTATGTTCACAACGAGTAATTAACAGAAGTTATCACTAAAATCTTGTAGTTACTTATTAATGATTGAACAATTTTGCAATAGATTACTTGTTTTCTATCTTCAGATAATAAACAATATATTGAACATAATTCATATCTAACTAAAAAGAACAAAATAATTCCTTTGTAATCAACTTTGTACGTTCAATAGTCTTGTTTTATTGAAGGAAGAATAGCAATCATAACGAGCAAAACATTGACATTGAAATTCATGACTAAAGTTATTTTTTTAGTTCAATTGTAAATAGTTTATACACCGACGAATAGAAATATTCAAGATGTCCGCAAACGACTTTTTTAATTGCTATATATCTAAATGTTTTAAAAGAAATTTTCTATTGTTTATTATTTTAGACAAATGTTTCGATATTCTATTATTAATCATTGTCGATGGTCAGTTTTATCATCATTAATTTCTCGTCATTCCAGTAAAAATTATTCACCAACCTTGAAAAAGAATTTTGATAAAAAAACTTTCGATTATTTTTATACACGTCGTTTGAAAATATTTCATGATAATCAACAACAAATGTCCAATCATATACGTACACATCTTGAGTCACTATTAAAAACATCATCGATTATTACTAATCTTAATGATTTAAATACTAGAAATACAATGAAAAATTTTTCACAAACTTTAACAATTGAACAATTTAATGATCTATTATTTTTTGCTTATGAACATAATATTAAACTTGATTTTTTAATCAAACGTTTAATTGAATGTTTAATACCAATGAATAAAATTACATCTTCAAATTTATTTATTGAATTTATTAATCTTCTTGTTCTTCATCAACAAAAATATTATGATTATCAAACAAAAAATCCAAATAAAATCTTAGAAAATCTTATTTCAAGCTTTGAATTTAATTTAACCGATGAACAAATTAAAAATATTTCATTAGTTGATCTTAGTCTACTTTGTTCTGCAATGTATCGTTTACAAATGCCATTAAAAAATCAAAATTTACTTGATTATATTGGTCAATATTTAATAAATGATGAGAAGAAGAAAATACTTTCAGCTGTTGATAAACAAAATTTTATTAAAATTTTAACTTTATCAAATTATGGAAATATTTCTATAGCAAATTCATTAACCAATCGTTTTAATCAATCATTTGAACAACATAGAAAATTAAAGTTAAATACTTTTAGTTATGAAATTGTTCGAATGACAATGCGTATTGGAATTTATTTATTAACATTTCGTTTTTATTCAAAAGATTTTTTTCATAATTGTTTAAAACTAATTGAATTCGAATCAAATTCATCATCAACATTATATCGAGCAAAAGATATGATACAAATAATGAATACATTGATTTATATGGGTTATATTAGAAAAAATAATACGAAATATATGAATTTAATTTATGTACATGATAAAATGAAGCAATTTGAACAAAAACCGGAACGTCTTGTTGATGTTCTTGCACCATTGGCAATGATTGGAGAATTTCCAGAAGATTTATTAGAAAAACTTTTTACAAAAGAAAATTTAAATCAATTATTAGGTAAGATTGAGCTTTGTCGAACAAAAAAGTCTTCCTATCTGACGAATAGCTGACTCGGGTATAGGAGTATCGAAAAAGTAAGACATTTTTTCTATTGTATGATTAAATAGTAACACTTTAATAGAGATCAGGTGACAGAGACATTCCGAGCTACCGGACATATGACCGGGTGTTCGGAAATGATTTTTGTCCTAAACAACTTTCATTACGAACACCCTGTCTTTTTACATATGTCGGGAGATCGTAACGAACATCTGCTACAGGAAATCGTTATGAAAGGTTGGTGCGAAATGTCTCTTTCCCATTATTTCATAGCAGTTAATCATGAACTATAGATGCTTAGAGGCATTATAAACTCGAGAAATCGCTTTCTTCAATTTTTGTACTTTCCATATTTCTATGACACATCAAATCTTATTGATATAATAGGTTTTATATAATAAAATTGGGAAGTAGAATAACAGCTTTTTCACTTATAGATATGTTTCAAGGGATAAACAACAAAGACTTCATGCCTAAAGTCTCGTGAAGTCTCACGAAGTCCTTTGAAGTCTCCGAAATCTTTTGAAATCTGTGAAGTTCATTGAAGTCTCTAAAAGTCTTTTGAAATCTTCTAAAGTCTCTTGAGGTCTTTCGAAGTCTTTAAAATCTTGAAGTCCGCTGTTTCCCCCTTGTTATGTTTCAATAGTGTCGAATAATTCAATAATAGGACTTAGTAGTTAATGATCTCAGCTATGATAATTTCGTGTGAAAAATATCATTAATCACCCTTCATAGTTTAATTGAGACGTTTTTCTAATATTTCGAATAATTAATAACTGTAATGTCTTCATTCTTATAAAATTCTAATATTCTTGCTATGTTTATTGATTCTCAAACATGATTTTCTGAAATAATGTAATATCTTATACTATTTAATGATTGTATTTATTATCTTCTAGAATCTCGAGTGAAAGAAAAGTTATTCTTTATATCTCAATCACATAAACTGCTTTGTTCGCCACAACGACCATATCTTGATCAGGTTTGATTTTATACAAATCAATAGATACAATAGTTATAATATATATTATTTTCAGTAGATGTATCTTGATTCATTACCACGTCATTTATATGGTTCTTGGGAAATAGAAAAACGTAAACGACCCTATTTTTCTATTGTTATGCAACGATTATTAGAATGTGTACCTAATCGATATTATGTGAAAAGTGCTTTTATTCTAAAACATTTCAAAAGTCCTGGTATGTAAATATTAATTTTTAAATAAACAAAAAGCTTATTAATATTATTTCAGATATTATCATTCATTTAAATACTAATCAACAACCACAGATCATTCCAAACGAAACGAAGAAAAGTCTTCAATTCTTCGATAAGAATGAAGATAACAGTTCAATGTAAGTTGTTCGAATACATGACACATTCTTCTACCTTATCCATAGTATATGACCTTTATAGAAAGTCTTCTTCCTATTTATCTCGTAGATGTTAATCAAATAAAGAAACTATTGACTGAAAATAGTTCACATTTTTTTTCTTCTATTTAGGTATGCACTCGGAGTACTTTGTGAAGAGGAATTATGTGCAAATGATCCATTACGACCACTTGGTTTATTCTATGCTAAAGCTCGTCAATTACAAAAACTGAATTATATACCTGTGATTGTAAGAATATCTTTGGTTTTTTTTCTCTGTCATACTTATATAGTTATTTATTTACATGTTAGATCTATCCAAGCGATTCTTTACATCAAGTAAAAACAAAGGAAGAAATATTTAAATGGATTGTGAAACGTGCGCAAGCAACAGAATTGTTATTAAATGAGAACTAGTCATAGTCTATTATTAGAAAAAAGAAAAATTTCATTTTTCTAAGGAAAACAACGTGGTTATTATTTTTCTTTAAAAGTTTTAGATAAAAAAATGAATAAATGATGTCATCTAAAAGTGAATTAACAAAAACTATTGAAAATCAGCAATCGCGAATAACACGTCTTGAACAACGTTTGGGAGGTAAATTATTTTTTAATAAAAATTCCTTTGTTTTTTTTCTATTATCAAATTTTACAATAAACTAGATGTTGTTTCTGCTTATAAAAATTTACAAAAAGAAAAAGAAGCTCTCGAATCTACTGTACGAGTTTTATCATCTACAACATCAAATGTAGAAAAGCCTAATACAGAAACAGAAACAAATTTAAATACACAAGAAGTAAAAAATATCTATTTAAGCTTATAAATTTTATTCATTTATAAATATAGAATGCAGAATCTGGTAATGAAACAGAAACTACTCATACAGCATCAAGTGAACATTCAACAATACAAGATAAACTTCAAACACTACAACAAAATGTTACTATTATTACCGAACAAAAAAATCGTATGGAACAAATGTTTCAATCAGACAAACGTAAACTTAAGGTGAAATTATTTGATTTACTCTTATGAATAAAATGAAATATTTTTATTTAAGACTGAAAATGAAGAATTGAAAAAATTACTTGAAGAAACAAAAGCAGAAAATATTATTATTAAAGAAAAATCTGATCATGAAATTAAAGAGGTAATTATAATGAAGTTATACAAAGGATTTTTAAACAGGAACCTAAATTTCATTTCTAAATGAATAATTCTCTACTTTCAGTTAAAAAAACAATTGCGTCAATCTCAACGTGATCATGAACGTGAAACAGCTGATCATAACGTTATGGTACGGGAATTACAAACGATTCTTTCAACTGAACGCAATAAATCAGAAACTATGGAACATCAAGTATGACATTGATATAAAACACGAAAAAAAGACATTCAATAATGACTAGTATTTATTTGAGTAATAAAAATATCTGAATGAGCAATAATTAAAATACGAATTAGTAATAATCTTTGAGCAGTCTTAAATCTTGAGGGTGTGGGTCAAAATGAAGGAGGGACATCCACACCCACCCTCAAGATGGTTTTCATCAGTTTTGATTCCTTTTTTATTTAACTATTATACTATTATTCGAAGATTTCGGTTCCATGTCATTTTCACTATCAGAAATATACTGCGCTACACGTTGTGATTGAATTGTCTGTGTAAATCAATTATTAAGAGAGAATTCATTCTGGATGATCGCTATTGAATGTATCATTCTCTCTTATAAACGAGTGTAGTACTTACACATAAACAGGATGGGTAGATTCAAAGATAATGAGGGGAAAACAAGGAGAAAGAAAAGTACCTGAACGAGTCAACGTTTGGAAAAACCTCAGAGCAGGGGCGTAGCGAGGTCTCGAAGGCAGCGGGGCGCAAAAGTTCAGTACTTCAAATTCTAAAAGCAGGGGGGACCGCAACACCCTTTTTGCTTAAATCTAACACAAAAAACCTTTGTTTTTGATTTTATTGACCAAAAAAAACAAAAATTTTCCAAAGCAGAGGGTGCGTGACACTCCACGCGCCCCTAATCGCTACACCCTTGTCTCAGATGAAAAGGAAAAAAACAATGTATATGTGGAGATCCTGAATAAGTCATGTATACGATACAATCTAAAGAAAGCATCGAACACAGACGAATGATACTATAACACCCAGATTTATATTGCGTCCTATACATACGATTTTTTGTTAATTTAAATAAATTATTGCTCATTCAGTATTATTATTGCCAAATTTCATTACTGCTCATTTAAATATAAGTCTTTAATAATTTAAATTTAATTTAGTATGATGAATGTCGAGCAAAAGTTGTTACATTAGAAAGTCAATATGATACGTTGAAAAAGCAATATAATAATTTAAATACACAATATCAAACAAAAGTAAATGAATTAAAAGAAAAAGATTCGTAAGTTTAGAATGAAAATTTTTTAAACATAAATAATTATTTTCTTTTTTTTTGCAAAAGGATTGATGTTGAAGAATTAAAACGTTCAAAAGAAAAAGCTGTTGAATTAACGACCAAAATAAAAGATTTAGAAGTAAAATAAATGTTTTGTAATAGGTTTAATTTTTTGTATATTTATTTATTAGGCTAAATATACTGAACAATTACGTGTAGAATCAAAACGTAATCAACAATTAGAAAAAAAATTAACTGATAATACAACTGAATATGCTCAAAGAACGTCAACAAATGAAACACATATTGCAGAATTATCTGAACAAATTGGTGTTATTGAAAAACAACGGTAATACATCTTTTTCTATCTTTTGATATATTCCTCAATCGTTTTGTATTTGTTTATTTAAATAAATATCTTTCAGTGCACAAGATCAAATGGCTATTCAACGTTTAAAAGAACGTATAGCTCAACTTGATGTTGAAAATTCTCTCTTAACCAAAGCTTCATCAGCATCCATCGAACAAGATGATATTGGTGGAACAAATGATGATAGTGATAATCATCATGATTTAGATACATTATTAAAACATATTTCTAAACTAAAAGTTTTAATACGTGTTGCAAATGATCGTTTTGGTAAATCTCTAACAATTGAAGGTAAAGCAAAACATGTTTATTTATCCGAATTAATTTATTTGATTCTACATAAGATGTTCTTAATATTGATCGTGAAATATCATCTGGTGCAATAAATGGATCAAATTTATCTTCAGAAAATAATAAAATCTTGCATATTAAATGCCATGAAGAAATTGATCGACTTAAAGGTGAATTAGAAAATTATCGAAATAAAACTGTTGCAGCATTTAAAGCAAAGGCATTCAAGGTACAGGAAAACAAACTTTTTCGTTTATATATTAAATAGAAGTGCAAGAGGTATATAGTCTAACAGAGCCGATATTATTATTACTTAAGATCTTTTTGTATTGATCAAAATCTATAAATAAGAATGTACCGAGCCCGAACGGCTCGGGTGTGAAGATGGACGTGAGAGTGGGCGGGTACTATCCTTTTCACCCACTCCCACACCCATCTTGATACCCGAACTCGGTACATCCCTATCTATAAAAAACGTTTCTTGTCTTTCAGGATACAAGTTCAACAAAAGAAATCGATGATTTACGTAATCAAATTGATCAATTACGTGAAAAATTAGTTAATAGTCAATCATTATATAATTCTGAAACTGATCGACATACCCAAGTTGTTGAAAAACTTGAATCATGTTTAACAGCTATTCGTGAACAACATCGTCAAGAAACTGAACAAATTTTAACAAAAAAACGTGGTGAATTAAATGAACTTGAATGTGAATTAGAAAAACAACGTGAACGTACAGTACGTTTATTAAATGAAAAAGATCGAGAACTAGAAACATTACGAAAACAAATAGATAATTCTCCAATAATTGATAAACAAGTATCTCATACATCATCAATATCTGATTTAAAAGAAACTAATGAACCAACAACAATTATGACGGAATTATTTCCTCAACATCTTTCAACATCAACAAATGGTGGACCCATAAGTCCTTTGAATTCTGATTATAATTATCTTGTATATTTTAACGAGAAACAACAATTACTTGAACAAGAATTAAGTACATTAAAAAAAGAACGTCGTGAATTTGACTCAACAATAAGAGAGTTACAACAAAAATATTCATATGAAATAAGTCAACTGCAAATTTCAAATGAACAATTAACTGAAGATTTAGAACATATTAAATTAAGTACGCAAAGAAATGAAAATTTAACAAAAAATGAACATAATATTGACTATATAAAAAATGTTTTTTATCATTATTTACTTTCTAATGATACGCAAGTTAAACATACAATGGCGAACGCCTTAATGACCATTTTACATTTTTCATCAAAAGAAAAAGCGAAAATCGAAAATCAAAAACCTAATAATAGTTTGGCAACTGGTGGTGGTTGGTTTAATACAAAATAGCATATAGACATTGTTTTTTTTTGTTCTCTATTTATTTTACATTCCATATATATTTAAAGAATGTTCCATAATATCTTACAATAAATTGTCTATACAACTTTTCATGCTTTTTCTTCATAATGAGATAATGAAATTTTTCGCTATCAGAAATAAAAAAAACTATTGAACATCTTCAATTTATGAAAGAAATTGAAATACATCGTAACAGAAGACTGAACCTGTGATATTTACTGATTATGCTCTTCACATATGTCATCTTATCGTATATATATAACATTATCCTTGCTCAAGCAGACAGAAAATTGGAAACCGCGATTGTAACCCATTCACGCTTAATAATAAAACGCCATAAACGGCGTTTTGGACGTAAAATCGCCACCTTTATAACGTTAAAATGGTGAAAAACTCATATTTTTAACGCTTAAACGCATGGATTTTAAACTCTAGAATAAACGCGCGTTTTAACGTCAAAAATATGAGTTTTGCACAGTTTTAACGCTATAAAAGTGGTGATTTTATGGCGTTTTATTTTTAAGCGTGAATGGTTACAATCGCGGTTCCCGATTGAGCGGTTAAACGCGTTTTTCCATTTTTTTGTCTGCTTGGGTGGCGGCAACTACAGATGATAATAGTCAATCGAGAATGGTTCATGAAACAATAAACTATTTATATTGGAACGTTATCAACTAAGTGTTGAGATAATTATGACTGCGAAGTTGGAGTGATGTCTTGAAAAAAGCGAACAGGAAGTATCACGACTGAAAAAATACATATGTAAAGAGTACAATCAGCAAATATTAAGTTTTATTCTTCTGACAAGAACTTCAATATCCTCTGTTCTCAATGTTGACTCTAACATCCTGCACTGACGGAAGCTTTGTCTACCGTTTCTTATGTAGATCCCTGTAACTGAAAACAAATGATGTTCATTTTGTAGTCATACAGAAAACTACAGTTGCATTTTGGTTTCACTTACTTACCTTAATGATATAGACATGGGTATACTTGATGAAAGAGAATGAATTTATCACTCATATCTTTAGGATGATCTTTTTAAAATTCCCGCTTATTCTTTTACATCGAACATTTACTTTATTCACATTCCATACAAGTTTTTGTATAAATAGAGTGGTATTCATTTAATAATAAAACTATTATAAATATTCGTATATTTCAATCTTGTTACAGTTAGAGATAGTAAAGATTTTATGTAGATATATTTTCCTTAAAATGAATTTCACTTTATTATCGAACACTCTCTTTATATTTATATTCAAATAAATTTTAGAAAACGAAAACTTGGTTAGGTAATGATTTTATCATTTCGATA